TTAACAAATAAAAGCAGATTTCCCTCAGTCTATTCAGAGTACGTTCACAACAGAATGTCAAAAACTTTGTGCAGATTTTTTCCCCCTAAAACCACATCAAAAATTGTTGCATGAATTCTTGACGTTTAGAGTTGTTTTGCGGTTTTGTTTTCTTAATTCGTGAAACTAAAACTAAAACAATATATACCTTAGTTTCTATGAAATTCATTGTCATATATACAAGTGATCGTTATTCAAGCCAGAAACCACAACAAACGAACAGTAAAGAGATACCAGCGGCCTACATATATGTAAGACAACATTGTGTGATAATATTATACGGAAGTCACGTCTCGTTGATTAAAAATTCTGATAACAACTGTGAATGAACAAGGAAAAAAAATCAAAATATTTATCGCTAAAACAATTCAAAATACTAATAGATGATAATGCTGTCAACACTTCATGAAATGAATTATACTAATATATATGTATATAAAATATACTTGTATCCTATACATTTTGAAAACCATTAATGGTTTTCATGAAAAGACACCCTCTCAGCGTGTAACCCTGGTAAACACCCACTACTTCTTTCTGGTGCTATGTTTATTTATGAATTTACGCCTGACATTATTAATATTAAGTTATTTATTGTGGTCTCAAATCCAGAATAAAATAGATGTTATTACATTTTATTATGTAGCATAAAGCGGAAAGGAATTATAAATCTTAACATTTGAAATATGTTAGACATATTTTAAAATTAGTTTCGTTGTGAATTTGAATGTATACATATCTGTCCTAGCTTTATCATTTATGTACTTTTTCTAAATCGAAAAGTGAAGAGACAGGATATTATTTATCTGAAGGTACACGGGTATCATTAATCATGTCAAGAATACAATCCAAGCCTTGTGGCAAGATAAAGATGGTAGAAAAGGTTACTTTATTGTTAGTTTCTCGAACGTTAAGGTGGCTGGTTTTTGCTTAAATACATTTTACAGCCTTTTTATCTCTAACGGGCGTATCTAAATTATGAGCCAGGATTTACACTCAAGATAATGTCCTCACAATAGTGTACTAGTTACCGCGGTATATAGAAATTACCTTCTACAATACCCCTACACATATTCATAGTATATCAAAAGACTTAGTTTGGTCATATGTACAATGAATTATAGTATTATTTAGTATATATCTCATTTCGTTATGTGCAAAACTTTTCACATCCTATAATTTATCGGGAACCAAGCGTAGCGTCGGTAAGCACATGATAATATATTTATCAGTAGCAATTTACTGTTTAACAAGTCTTCACTTTTCTTTCCTCTCTATCGTTCAATTATATCTTCAGCTTATCTCTACTGACCCCGCTCTAATCGTTTTATGTTATCAAATTGTGGGCTGTTCGGACAACTTGTCTATTTTATTGTAAAACGCCCCTATACCTACTTTCAGATATTCATTAAAGCGTACACTTTAAAATACAATGAGGTTTATTTTTGTGCATTATCAGACTAATGTGCTGATTTAAATTTGTCCTGATAGCGGTGCCACGGTCTACTTCTGTTTCAATTCCCGACTGTTAGGGGATATCTTATGTGCTTTCAAATCGTATACACGGGACATTGTTTTTTTGTTTCAATCCCATCCGAAAGACTAGGCACTTGTCCTGGTTAGACCCTCTCCGTCCTGCACCGCTAATTATATTACACCAATATAATTATGTCTGGTACCCCGTTGAATATAGCCTGAAATCTAACCAGAAACCAGAGAAACAATCTCCTAAACGCTAAAGCAAATAAACATATACACCCATTACAGGAACCACAGTAAACAAAAGGGGGTTGATAAAAACATCTTTACTATCTAAAGAACCAAAAACATCCAACGTTTGTTTGTTTTATTGTAAACTTTTGTAAATGCTTGTTTTTATATTTTTAGCTCCAAATTCGTGATATGTATTATGGATGTCTGACTTTACCGAGACAATAGAAATGTATAAAAAAAGGGTCGGTACAAAATTCAAATACTTCACGAAATAATCTGACTGTTTCTTAACTAAAGTGGCGGAATCTAGAAGCGTGTGTCTTTTTATCATGTACGACACACGTAGATTACATGCGAACATCTCGAAATACAACACCAGCAAAAAACATATACATAAAGACGATAAGAAAGCTCAATTAGAATTCTTATAATACGAACCCTTCATCATGTCGTGTATAATAAACCAAGGTTCGTAAACGCCCAAGGCACCTTTTCTTAAGTAGGGGTCCTTCTAAAACCCTCGATTTGTACATTGCATTGTGGTTAAGAGCTGTAAATGGGACTTGAGCTCTTTGTTTCCCAAAGATGTTTTGAGGGCAAATAAAGTATCTTGTTGACATTTGCATTGATCTGTTTAGAGTTAGGTTACTTGAACATCTTTACCCTTGAAAAGACAAGAGAATTTAGTTGACTGACTCATCTGTTAAATGGTACAGCACAGCTGTAAAACACGACTTTTAAAATACGGTTTCAATGGTTTATTTGAAAACCGCCTTTTTTACAATGACATCAAGTGTACGTACATTATTCTCGGCTGAATAAAAAAGGTATAAGGTTCAACAAATATGTAGCAAAGCATTATGAAAAAAAACCACACCAGCAAAAAGCCAATCCGTGCGTGTATATGTGACTGATAATAAATCGCTAAGAATGCTTCATAAATCATACAATGCTGACAACGGTGCTGAATGAATTTTAAAATACGAATTCAGAAGCCGATAGGTGTAGGAAATCATGGCGCGTCGAGTCTTTCTGACATACAGAATCCGGCTATTCATTATTTTCGTTGACATTCAGTGAGGATAAAGTACGACCTTGTTAGCAATTATAGGATAAGTTGCAATGATTAGAGAACAAGAATATACACATTGCTCACTTAAATTCATAAAACATATTAACCTCCTACATGCAACTTAAACTTATTTTAGGATTAAAAAAAAGATTAATGTTTTTAAACATATCAATTACTGTTGAAGATTAATCGTTAAGTAAACCAGAAAAGAAAATGTTTCAAATAGGATAACAATCTTTTACTTACATGTAAAGAATAGGATTTAATTAAAATAGTGGTTGTACATTTCAAGCTCTGCCACTCAATTAAAGACAATCTTATACTGAATAAATATCATATTGTACGTCTAATCACCCTTCATTAGTATACAAAGGAGAGTCATTACAGAGGATATTGAAGCATCATGCTGCGAATCTAAAGCTCTATGTCTGGATAATTGTGGTTAAATTAACTAACATGGCATTCTAATCAATTACGTTCGTTTCGCAAAAAAGCTCAATCCACAAAGAGCTAAAGAATTTAATATAATGACTTTAAGAATAATTAGATAGTAGCTACAGTTTTCTATTTTGGGAAATGGTTCTGATTTTAAACCAGGTATTTTATCTAAAAGATAAAGTTAATTAAAGATATTTATATGAGGGACGTAGGGGGTGTAAGGGTATCACGTGAACGAAACAATTATCAACCTAATTATTAGACTAATATGTTAGTTTATCACGAGTCGGTACATAAGGTAGCGATGTCTGCCGTTGTCTTTATAACAGTGTGGGTGCATTTATAATAAAGCAAAAACAACCCTCAAAATTATCCAACATTGGAAGTGGGCCCTTTATGAAACATTAATTGATCCAAACATAATGACAGCTACTACTTCGTCGTTGGTTGACAATGCTAGGAGGGTCATTATATTCATATGACGTCTTCCGAGCTCCTGCCGAACTTTCTCAGCGCATACCAAACACCAGTTGAACAAATTAAAATGTCGCGTTACAAACAAGAAGGGAAAGATAAGGACGTCCCGTCATGTAACATCATGTCGGCTTCCTTCAACAATCCAGAGTCTTACAAAAACGAACAGCGCCGATAATTGTTTCTTCACAAATAAAAAAGAAAAGGTTTCTAAGATCGCGTAATCATCTGATATCTTTTCTCGTTTGTGTTTTATCTCGTTTTGACAATGTGAGATGGTGGGGGAGATAGATGCATTAACGTTGAAGTAATCGTTGCACCTGTTCTGTCAATTTCGTTTGAAGTGGCCGCCTATCACAGGTAGAATGATAACAGTGGCAGGTGTGCACTGAAGATTGTCTTTCCCTCATAAAACGTTGGTAACAGTAACTGATAATGCCTACAGGACGTAGCATTTAATGTCACACGGGTGAATTACAATCACCCTCGGTATTTCGAGTGGATTATAAGTTCAGCCTCATATTAAAGGTCCTCTATCGTATGTTTCTGTAGTATACAAGTATGTATTTCTACCTGAGGGTTTAAAGTGGCAAAAGTTCTATATTTGAATGGTTTATAAATGTAACCAAATACCGCAAAATACTGTTCAACTGTCCAAAATCTATAACTATTATATTATAAAAACTTGTCACAAACTTTATGAAACATGTGGTATGAGATTTTAAATAGTACTTATAAAAACGAACCGTTGATAATGAGATATGTTTTTAAAATAGGAAGTTTGATATGATTACACTGCTCAAGAGGCCTTCGCTTTAAGGTATGTTCCATTTGTCACAGCGTGTAACTGTCCCCTTATGCACAGTGTCACTGTAAAGCATCTCCTGTGACGTCTAACTATAACTAGTTATTCGTGAATTTACCAAGACGCAGCTTTTAAAAAAATAAAACTGTCATCCAGTTAGTTCTATATAGAGCAGCCTTCAAATAAAACGACCGTACCTAAATTTATGACCACCTTGAAGAGAATACACAAGTATTATATATGACGTCTCACTCAAATCCCTGTCACTTTCAAAACGGGCGAAGAAAAAATATATTAAAACACTATGCTATTCATATAGGGGGAGTGTGATGTTATCTTATGGATAAACTTATAGGGTATTGTATTAAAGAATTACACGTTAATGCGTGTAATAAAATCTTCTTGTGTGTATACAAGATCACAAAAAATAGAGATAAAAGCAATAAGTAAAATACTTACGTTGGCTTTCACGATCCGCTTAAACGGGGAATTTGGAAGTAGCATGTCCCATGCAATTTATGTTGACGACAGTAAAAAACAGTAGATTATAAATTTTATGGTTTGTGTGTATATCTAGATAACACACCCGCACAAATAAAACAAATAAGATATATTGGTTATAGCTGGTGTCCTGATGTAGGTCTGTCGCTTCTAATAGTAAATACGAATTCAAACCTAACGAATTCTTTACACGACAGTAAACTGCGACACCAACACATATCGCCCTCTTTTCTCCCACCTTGTTAGATTTACACTTCACAAGCTTTATGTATTATTCATAATAATAGTAATAGCAATATCACAAATTTAAATTTGTCACATCTTTAATTTCATAGAATAATATATTCAAAACGGCTGCTAATATCCATTATATTCCACTACATACACACCTTATGGAAAACAGTTCCGAAGCTGAAGAATCATCCGTGGGTATAATCGACACTGTTGCTAAAAGTGAAACTGTCAATCGGAAAATCATTACTGTACATGTGTAGATAATATATATCGGTATAAGTAAACAAGTATTTACAACCACATTATGATATTATAATTGATAACAATACAATATGTATTATATATATATACACGTGCACTGTGTCGATGTTGTTCGGTAGGAGCCCCACCGCCGTCGCTGTTCAGCAGTTAAAGCTAACTAAAGGTAAACCTTGTCGCATATCATTATAATTGCTGTGAGTACTTTCACCACCCTTTTTTCTCGTGACGCCTGTTAACATCCAAAGCAGAAGTAGTACGGTTTTAGCAGTTTGTCTGCTACAGATCGCGGTTTTTATTACGGGACCTGTTCACTCATCTGAACCCAAAACAATACTCACTTGTAGATCTCAACAACTGACTGAATAGCCCGCTCGCTTGATTGTTCGCTAGAGTCTGTTAATGAACTCACCAAGTTGACTACTAGTAGTAGTTGATTGGTTGAACACAGAGCAGCAAGGCGTGCTTTTAATACGGCCGTCAAAATCTACTTATTTAAAGTTGAACCAGGTTGTATATGTTATACTATATATTATAGGACAGACGTATACTATATGTGCAGTAATGTAACTAAAAGCTACACTGATGCGTGTAAACCACAAGTATTTATTGAACAACAAAATAAAATGAACTCGAGTAAAGAAATTCCTTGATTAAATAGTCGAAGCTACCCTTTATATACATGTAGATCCCGGATCACCTTCGAAACTTCGGGAAAAGCGACCATTACTTGTAAATGGATGAATTTGGTAGTTTAGCCTCGGGTATTATTCTGTCGAATTCCAAACAATTATTGAGAAATATAACGAACAGCCCTGGGTTTAGTCCTCGGCGTGTTATATATAGTGAATGAATTGACACTGTTCTCATACCATGTGAAATTATCGTATGATAATTTTAGACAGGGGACGTGATTATGTTACCCAGGTGTTCAAATTGGCTACGGAATCTATTCTCTGTTGGTCAGTTGGCTATTATTGTGGTCTTCATGAGCACAATGCAGCCTTTCAGCTCATAACACGTGAAAAAATCCCACAATTTCAGTAGGGGTCCCATTCCATTTTCAATATTCATTTTGAAATGAAAATTTGTTTTGTGGGAAAAACGCCAGTAAGGTTGTACGGTGCAATATTATTTTGTGCTTGTTGAAATGAATGAAGTAGTCATTTAGATAAATTCGCTAGGACATTTGACAACACTATGTTGAAATTGTTGTCGATAATCATTGATACAACGAGAACACGTTTTATTGTGGATTAATGCATTTAGCTAACAATTTTTAAGCGACCAAATAAAGAAAAGGCGATCATATTAAGAGAAAGCTCAAGCGAACAAATTTTAAGCGCTCAAATAAAGAGGAAGCTCTGAAATAAAAAAGAGTTTCCGTTTTAAACGAAACATGGATGACTGACAGGGAGACTTTAGATGCCGGAAGAAATTCGGATTATCAGATCCCCAAACCACGGATCTTAGACGACTGTAGTTTAATTTCCATACCAAAATTGAAGAATAAGCCCTTGGATCTATTTCGTCGGGGATGTTACCAGAGCCACTAATTTCACCTGCGTCAGTGCTTAACCAGAAAAGATTTGATGTTTCCCTAGGAATAGAGAACACTCTGAAACTTACAAGACCCACCTTTACCTTGTCACCACAACTGGTCAGATAGTCATTCTGATAGCGATTATATACTTGTCCAATGTAAAATGAATGACATTAGTTGCCGAAAAGTAACTGTTCTTAATCCTGAAAGCCTACATATGGCATTCGTGCTCAGGTAGTTGCGAACGGTAGCTTATGGAGAAGGTTTCGTTGTTTAGAGCCTTTGATTTTGAAAACTTTCCTCTTCATAGGTAGACGAAGAATCGCAACCAATCCCCAAAACAATGAAAACCCAGGTCTTTAGAACTGCACATGAAAGTTAGGACGAAGGAACTGATAGGAGTGACGAAATTATACGACCACACAGAGGATTGGGGTTTAACGTCACACTGTTCCGCACAGACACGGCTAATGAACACTGGCCGATCCCAGGTCTTTGGGGCGAAAAACAAAGAAATGTGTGTCTCAAAATGGCATCGCTGAACCCCAAAGCTTACGGAACTTTAAGAGTGTCCCCGTCTGCACTAGCTCAGTCGTGGCAGAACATTAGGATGTTAAACCCAATTTCATTTAAGAGTGTCCCTTTTTGAAATCGCCTCATTGTCATTTCATCTTGAAAATCGTAGCTCAACTTTAGATTTTCAGGAAGTAGGAAATCCCTCAAGAAAACCACAAAGGTCAACCGTCGAAAGTAGTGATAATAGATTACCGAAAATACATTTTCATTTTGAAGTTTCCTCGTTGACTTATCGTGACATGACAATTCCGTTCACAACTCACTTTTTTCACCTAGCATCAGAACTCACGTAATACTTGTCTCGCATAATAAAATAGTGGAAGATCTACAAGACTGTTGTTTATTCTTGATATTTTTAACTGCTAGTTCTCTTTAATAGTTTTTACTCGTCTAGACACATTTGTTGTGTCATTCTGTATCTTTCGGACTGATATTTGTTGATAACACACAAGGTAGACCAGTGTTCTATTTGTGGAAAATTGTATTACAGAAAGACTGGTTTCAGTTCCATAGGAATACATACCTGGACTGTCACTGTCAGCAGAAACTCAAATGAATGCTTTACGTCTCCCAAAGAAAATTATAATTCGGTTTAACAACCCATCGATGTACTAAAATTGAATCCTCTCTTCAGAATTAAGAACAATGTCTATTTTACTCCCCCGGTGCCTTTTAACCCACCCCTGTTGGCCCAGGCAACGTTATCGAAAAGTTCCTAGTCATTTGGAATTAAGTACCGTCAGTTGAACAAATCTGAATAAGCAATGCTCAGGCAGCATGTCTTCTAAATGTGGTTGAAATTTTGGACCAGAGTAGCTTCATGTTTGAATGATGTCCCTTTTGAGCGGGTTTGGAAACGTTTCACGTACTAGCCAGTGTCCAGCAAAGGATAGAACTAGAATTTAAGAATACTTCAGGTAATATTATTTTTGCTGGATAGCAGTGATTCCGCGTAATCTAATTTCAACTTTTAGGTGCAGACCAATGCGTACACCGAATAATTACTTTTTCAGTCACGCAGTTGATACTTGATAAGTCACGAAGGTTCTTCATCGACCACGCCTGGATTCTAGCCATGGATATTAGACTTGAGAGTTCAACGATGTGATCGCTGCTAAATCACAAATTTGAATAAGTACCCGCAAGGCAGCATCTTTACCAGATTCTTTCAATGACATTCAGCAATTGAAATACACACATCACAACTCCATGGAATACAATTAATTACTCTTTATTATTGAGCTTCTCTAAAGACTAGATAATCAAGTAGAAACGTCGCTCAGTAATAGAGAGAGAATGGGGTTTAACGTCCACTCGACACAAATTGTCATTTCGGGACTAACAGTTGGTTTATTTTTTTTATTTCAATAATTCGCTTCCGCGTAGGGGTCTTTAGCAGTGGGAGGAAAACTGGAGGAGCCGGAGAAAACCCACGAGGTTGGACAGGCGACCCTACTCCTTGTCACGTACAACCGGGGATTCGAAACCACCGCAGTTAACTCAATGACAGGCCTTATGATACAGCGCGCATGTTCTAATCATTTGGCCACCCCCTCCCCCGCTCAGTAATAAACAGTAATTTTATTTCATAGAATTGTCACATGTGTATTTACCAAATGTCGTTGAATTGATAAGTATGATAGAAATCCATTGAGGTTGGTGGAATTTGACTTAGAGGTCCTCGTCCAGCAGTAGCTTCGGCTTCAGGTATACAGTATACAGCAATTAGTGATTGCATGTGAATCGTGCACAAAGCCTATTATGTTTCGTTTCTAGAACACTTGATGTCGCTTTTAATTCCCATTTCACATGGCTTAGACATGGTTACTACTTTTGTATTATAGCTTAGTGGGGCCATAGTTTAGACTTCGGCCTTAATTGCCCGTTCTCGTTAGGAGAAGGTAACTTCTTCGGGCGAAATAGAGGGATACGTCGTCTTTGTACTGAGATAGTTTTATACCATGAAATATTCCATTCGCACGGTACCCATTGGATGTCTTCGTGTGTACAGTGAAATACTGTGAAATTTTGAAAGGACTAGCATTTTAGACATCAAGAGGCTATGAGATCTAAGGGAACAATATGGATTATTTCGTAATGTTTACGCCGGTTTTATATAGTAAGATAATGGTGTCTTCAAGTCTGGTATGCCACAATGTCGTTTTGTCCCCAAAAATTAGCGAGGGAATTTCCGTACTGGACGCAGACGACGACTGTCAAATTTGTTGTCTGCTCCAACGAACATACTTCAAACCTTAGATGGCGTCACTATATTGACCTGTACGTATTTAAAATAGCCACTAATACAAAGGTACATGGAAAATGTGTGAGATATGTGAAGATTCAGACAATTGAATTATTTCCAAGGTAAACCGGCCAAGTTGGCGGTAGATAGGCCCATGAATCAAATAAATCCAGTTTCTCTCATAATTCCTTTCTTTGAAACTCAAAGAACTAGTTATCACATTGGCGGAATATTTTTCTTTGCCATAATAGAACATTGCGATTATAGTATTAAGGACCAAGCATACCAGACTAAAAGTTAAATTTGGAGATCAATACCATACAGATTCAAAAGTACTTTTATTACAAACATTCTGGACCACAAATTATTCTATTCTATCATTTAAGCCACTTAAAGTTTACATCTTTCTGTATCTTATACACATATATCGTGCTAATAATTCTGCTATCTCTTTTGAAGCAAGGTAGCCCTTTTTTATGAAATTCATTTATATACTCAAATGATCTTAATTGTATAATAACATCAGTCTTCATACTGAAATACTTTTGAGAAGTGTGTGGACGATGTGTCCTGTTAAGTGATCGATGTGCTTTTCCGACAAGCCTTATTCCTAGACACTTCCCGAAAGAGTGCACTGTTCAGCTTTTAGGATTGGTACTACAGGTATAGTAGAGCTTACAGCGGCAAAGCCTTAAGTCATTGCTTGTCCATCGTTAAGATACGTGATTTTCACATATTTTAATATGTGAAAAGCACGTATCTTAAAACAATACAAGTAGGCCTGCGACAACAGTTTCGGAGATACTTAAACTCATCCTAACAAGAACGACCCACGGAGCTTCAAAGCTAGTATCATCCAATATTAAATGGTCCACAAAAGTAGAATTTTGAACAGTTTTAATTTTACAAACCCATTGGAATTGTTTGTTGCACGAGCTCATTTTATTTTGAGGACCTACCGACAAATCATAAGCAAAAGGACTATTTATTATTACTTTCTATGGTATACCTTTGCATGTGGTG